AGCGGCGGCGAGCCGCGTCATTGTTCAATCCACGGCTCGCCCAAATGATCAATGACCTCAACGGCGAGGTAGGATCGTCGGTCTTCATTGCAGCTAATACTCAGCGAATGCACATGGATTTCATCAGCGACCCCCAAGCCTATGGTAATAACATTTTCTTGTCAAAAATATATTTTTTTTATTGATAAACATAATAAATATGCACTATATTTTGGAGCTAAATGAGGGTTGTTCATGGATTTCTTTTCTTTTTGTTTTTTGTTAAGGATTTGTGACATCGAAGATAGCATGTTGCGGCCAGGGACCGTACAACGGGATAGGGCTGTGCACACCGGCATCGAACCTGTGTCCGAACAGAGATCTCTACGCCTTTTGGGACCCTTTCCACCCTTCCGAGAAAGCAAATCGGATCATTGCTCGTCAGATTCTCACTGGCTCCCCTCAGTATATGCACCCTATGAACCTAAGCTCCATCCTCACCCTTGATTCCATGACCTAATCCTCCGAATCGAACGGTTCTGTTGCTCTGCGTGTGTGTGTGTGTGTTTTTGTCAGTGAATCTGAGAGATTACGTGTCTCTTAGTTATGAGTTTGTTATGTTCTTCATGAATAATTTTGTTAGTCCCGAATTGTGATGGGTTATTATTGGTGTAGTTTGTATTCGTCGTTGCTTTTCGGAGGTAATTGATTGGTCTTTTAAGTGTTTATATATATATATATATATAGTCTATATTCAAGAGTGAAAATTATGATGGATAAAATAAAATCGTTAGGGAAAACATGTTATTCTGTATTTTCCTCAATTGGTCTAAATTATATGTCATTATTTTCTTCTGTTTTATTTTGTGCTAAATAAAAAAGATTCATCAATTATAAAATGTTGTTTAATTTCCTAAGACATTCAACAATTTAACAATTTGAGCAACCAATCATATTGATGTTCTTACCTACAAAAGATCTGTCTAAAAGAAAAATCTAAGAAGATAATAAATGAATTTCACTTTATTAGTTGCATTGTCTATTTCAAACATTTTTTTCATCATCACCCCACTTATAAGGGACATCGAATTTATTTCTTATCTTATCACTTTCTTCTTCATATAAACAATTTAATAGCCCCAAAATTAGATTTTCCTGTTTTGTGATTATGACATGTTTTTGGACATTATAGCATAAAAAGGATCGGTTATTTCTAATAGTATGATTATACTGTCCATTCAAAATATTACGTTTCTATTTCATTATTTTTTTATTATAAACTTTTGAAAGAGATTAAGGGTGTATTATATCTATTTTTTTCTTCTAAATCATTGATATCCCCACCAAAAAAGATCGATCTTGTTTTTTTATTCTTTTTTTTTTCTGGATAAAGATAATTTATTTGTTACTAATTAAACCTCGCTATCATACAAATAAATAAATAAAATAAAATAGAAACTCAAAGAGATGCATTTTGGAGACCAAGGTTTTCTATCACGCTTAATTAAGCGTTTCGGTGAGTTTAATTTTTGAGATTAGGGATCACTAATTAATTTAAGTAATAAGTATGTATGCATAATGAAACACAATGAGACTAAGTAGTCTTTGTCAACTCATTAATGCAAAGTCGTTTTCTTGTCTTCTCGGCCATAAGCTTTCACGGTTTATAGCTACGTGTCGGTATACATTATCTTTGTAATAAAAACGTTGAGATTCGTATTGTAGATCGATAGATTTATAAAATCCAATGGGCCCTTCTCTTTGGGACATCGCCATATCTTCTCCTGCAAACAACAACAACCAGAGGGCTTCTTCGTGGAGGAAACTGAGACCCTTTGCCGCACCTAGTGCAATCTTCATCCGGATAGACCATGGAAGAGGTAAAGACCCTTTAAAACACACAGCCGTCGCCCAAGGAAAAAAATTAAACTTTGACAACTTATACATAAAAATACATCGGCCTCCTTCCGATTCTGTTCCACGTCCTTCGACATGATCTCCGTGAAATTCACAAACTATGAAAACAGAAATCAGATGAAAAAAATGCAAAACCCTCTGACAAAGACAAGCCCAATGAAGAAAGGATGAAACTTTGAGTGTTATGAGCCATTAACAAAAGGCTTACATCGAAGTTACTAAAGACCCGGTTGGGGATACTGCAAAATTCCTTCATTTTATCCCACGGACCGTCACCGACCCCAACTACGATTATCGAAAGAGGAAGATAACTGCAGTAGCTCAAGGAAACACTCGCAGAAATGAATGAAGAGAGATAACTTAAAAAACACAAAGCAAAGAATATAAAACACCAACTGTTGGCACTTTTGATTCAAAGCCTTTAAAGGAAAATGAAGAACAAGAAATATGCAGAAAGGAGAAACAAAAGCTGATTGAAGTAAAAGTTAATTTTTCGTTTTTGAAAAAGTAACACCAACCTTGCTTGGATAATGGCTTCCTTGGTTTTCTTTTCTTGGTCAGTGGCTACTAACAGATTTCCTTGCTGTCGTCGAGATGTTGTGTGACCTGGAACGGTTCTTTGCATTCACACCAAGTCCCCGAAACCGAAAAAAAGGATAAGAAAGCTAACTTCTGATACTTCTGAAGATGAATTGCTTAAATACCTGTCCATCGGCTACTATGACTAATACATGATACTGTCCACCACTCTGCTCAACAATGGTCATAGCCATTTCAATGACGGGGGCAAACGAGGTCGGTCCTGCAATACGGTTACTCAGTAGCATTTCAAAAGGAATTTGAGAACTAATAAGAAGTTCACTAAAAAAGAAGAAACATATTTAAGTACCTGCGAATCTAAGACGAGGAACGATTTCTCTATAACGAGATAGTAGCTCCTCAAACCCATTACAAGATCTCCCGTCAGAATAGAAACTGAAAACATCTCGATCATAAGTTGATGCTGCAAAGAGAGAGATATGATCGGTATATGTCGTGTCTCGGGATATCTAACAAACAAATAGGATGGGAGATAAGCTGAGTACCGTCTCCAAAACCATAACATGGGATTAAGTTATCTTCGCTGAAGACTCCTAAGGTTTTCCCTATGGTGGCTATCACTTGCTCATATGGGTTTGGTTGATCACCAATATAATGCAAGCATTTTCTCCCATAGGATTTAGCTCCTACATTCGATTTCATAGTCAGAAAGTTGTGTAATGCAATGAAACACTCACGCCATGGCAGCCCTAGCTATCGGTGTAAGCCTTCCTGAGGAGATGTAACTTTCTCGTTGAAGAAGAAAGGAGCCTAACCAACCTGTCCATTCATTGCTCTTGGTGAAGTCGATACCGACGATTAGATCAGAAGCTTCTAGACCCGCCTGTGCAAGAGCCTCTACCACCTGCAACGCAAGAGCTCATTAAGCAAGAAATCTCCAAGCTTTGGAGTATCAAACTCTTGCAAGATGAATCTTTCCACTTAAAAGGAACATGTCTAACCTGTTCTGTACAAGTGTACTCATACGCTAAGTCGGCGTAACTCCGCCCGGGTTTCTTCCAAGAACTTCCATGGATGTTGGAAGGCGGCTCAGGAGGCGCCTGCGAATAGCACCTCGGCTGAGGATAGGCGTAGTCAGAACTGCAGATCTGTTGGGGTGGATAGCTATAGCTTTCTTGACCGTATAGAATGTAAGATTCTTGATCTGAAGACGCCGACGAATCCGACCGAGAGGAAAACGAGTCTTGCCTGTCGGTTCTCTTTGAATTCCCAGAACCCATCAAAGATCTATGTATTACCGATCTAACCCTTCAGGGTCAGATGTAAAACCAGCAAAATTTTTGGGGAAAATCGATACTTTTATGAGTACAGATTAATGGGTTTAGTCTGTAATAATTCCCTAAAAGCAAAGATTCGAACTTTCCATCTCCCGAGGATTGAAATTTTAAACTACCCTTAATTAAAAATATTTAATTTCAATAGAGTGTTAATGGAAATGTGGGATCATGGAAAAAACAAAGAAAATGTATTGATATTTCTGTTTCATAACATTCACTTATATATTATCTAAATATTTCATATAATTCAATTTATATTTTGATGTAAAGCTCTTTTAATTTCAGAAAAATGTAAATCATAGTTCCCTGTGTTTAGTTTGTGACTAAGAAAAGCATTACCAAGTTCTTTAAAAATAAATATACCTAAATATATTCCTCTAAATTTGTAACTGCTCCGCCATTTTCTATCACCATAGATTATGCGAACTCTTGTCTTAGCTTATTGCGAAATTGGATTTGCAGAGAGAAAAATGAGAGAGAGAGAGAGAGAGAGAGAGAGAGAGAGAGAGAGTCCATAAAACAATTAGACCAGAAAATATAAAGGATTGTACTTGAAGTAGCTAAACCAGAGACATAAACCGGTCTACACCAAAGAACCAAAATACAAGACAACTAAACCAAAAATGTAAACCGAAATAAACCCAAGAACATACACATGTCTCTATTAAAAATGAGAGAGAGAGAGAGAGAGAGAGAGAGAGAGAGAGAGAGTCCATAAAACAATTAGACCAGAAAATATAAAGGATTGTACTTGAAGTAGCTAAACCAGAGACATAAACCGGTCTACACCAAAGAACCAAAATACAAGACAACTAAACCAAAAATGTAAACCGAAATAAACCCAAGAACATACACATGTCTCTATTATCTAATATAGCTCCTCTGATTCAATCTGGCTTCTGGTTTTAGTAAACCAGGCATACAGTGAAACTCTCTGGCCGAGTCAGAGTATCTCACTAAGACATCTACACATATGATAGTGTTAGAACTCTGTTCGTTTGATCATTTTATTAAATGAAAATTTCCAAGCAAACCAACTTGCATCTAACAGACTGTGTTAATGACTTGATGCAAATCATCAAATCTCGTCCTTCCTTCACCTACGCTATTGCCAACTTGCATCTAACATACCGTGTTATGGAGAACTTACGTTTGCTGTAATGTTTGGGGGTTAGCTCTGATCTCAGCCCCGGGTGTGCCAAACCGGGCATTCAAGGAGATCGGTTCCACACTCGGAAACACGCCTTTCAAAACCATTCAACCCCGAACCGAACATAACATCTTAGCCAATATTTGCAGAAGTTGAGATATGTTTTGACTATTACCTGATGGCTGCAATCAAATGCCATGTCTCTCTGGTTCTTCACATATTGGGGCAATGCTGTTCCGCGGATGAAACCAGAATCGAGAAAAAATTGAATGAAAAAGGCTCATTGAATCTCATCCAACCGGCACACTGTAGTCTATTGCAGTATTTCCGCTACAACAGTCCAACTGCAGATCGTTTCATATATATTCCAGTGGCTACTAACAGTTGTTCCAATAAGCAAAGAAGCGAAAGAGTGTTTTCCGCAAGATTTTGACATGGTTGAAGTATCGTTTCACCCTGTGATTCTAAACAACGGCAATTATAGATCCACCTGTTCATCGAGTGTAGAACTTGTGGCAGATTGGGGGCGGTTGCTTACAAGTACCGGAGGAGGAAGGGCAGTTCGATTGGCGATACCACGACGTCTTAGCCTGCAACAACAACAACCAGAAAATAGGTTATCGGTTTGCAAATTTAAAACCTTTGGCCCTGAATCTTTCAAACGGAACACATCTTTTGATTGCTCTGACCCAGTTCCTGAATGACGACATGTGATTTCAAGTTTTCATTAACATTCAATTGAGAGGGTTCGAGCTAAGGAAAACATTTCATGGAAGGAAGATACATTTGGCAGTTACAATACGTGAAAACGCAAAAGTTTCGTGTGGAAGGGTATTTGGATATTAAGCCTATAGCAATCAAATGCGTATAGAATTGCATTTATATACCGCATGGTCCGTAACATGTCACGCTCTAAAAATGCTTTGTAACGTAAAGGTAGCTCCATCAGAGCAGAATGGACGAACTCCGCTTCCTTTTGATTCTGCTCTACATTCTTCGACATGATCTCCGTGAAGTCCACGAACTTCGAGAGCAAAAATCAGAGGAAAGTTACAAACACATTGATAACAGAACCCGAGGAAGAAAGGATGAAACTTGAATGTTATGAGCCATTAACAAAAACTTACATTGAAGGGAGCACCGTATGGATAGGGGGTATTGCAAAATTCTTCTAATTCCCACGGTCCATCACCAACCCCAACTAAGATGATCGATAGAGGAAAAAACCTGCAGTAGCTCGAGGAAAGACTTAGAGAAATGAATCAAGAGAGATAACTCCAAGAAAACAAACCAAAGACTTGGAGAAACGAATGAAGAAAACACCAACCGCGCTTGGTTGATAGCATGATGGGTCATCGTCTCTTGGGGACTTACTACCCGGATGTCGACTCCTTCTGTAACCTATAACGGTTATTTACATCAGTCCCCCAGGGAGAGAAAAGAAGGATAAAGAAGCTGACTTGTGCAAATGCCATTCTAAAGTACCTGCCCGTCAGCTATTATGACTAATACATGAAACTTCCCGATGTCCTGATCAACGACGGCCATAGCCATTTCAATGATTGGAGCGAACGAGGTTGGTCCTGCAATATAACTTTCACAGTCATGGAAATATGGCTACTTAGATAGCAATGCAAGAGGAATTTGAGAACTGAAAATAAGGCTAATAAAAAGGAAAGAAACAATTAAGTACCTGAGAATTTAATATGGGGAACGATTTCCCTATAACGAGACAGTACTTCCTCAAACCCATTACAGGATCTCCCGTCCGGATAGAAACTGAAAACATTTCGATCACGAGTTGATGCTGCAAAGAGAGAGCAAAAGGAAAAAAAGGATTTGCTCCATATATGTGGTGGCTCGGGATATCCAACAAACAAACAAACGAATAGGATGGGAGATAAGATGTGTACCATCTCCAAAACCATAACATGGGATTAAGTTATCATTGCTGAAAACTCCCAAGGTTTTTCCTATGGTGGTTATCACTTGCTCATACGGGTTTGGCTGAAAACCAATGGCATGTAGGCTTCTTCCCCCAAAGGATTCAGCTCCTACGTTCGATTTCATGGTTAGAAAGTTGTATAAAATGCAATGAAACGTGAACAGTAAGTCTCACCAACTACCCCCGCCATGGCAGCGCTACTGGTATCGGAAAGGTGTAAGCTTTCCTGAGGAGACCGATGTTTCCGTCAAAATTTGGAACTTTCTCAGAAAAAGGAGCCTAACCAACCTGTCCATTGATTACTCCTGGTGAAGTCGATACCGACGATTAGCTTACAAGATTCTAGGCCCGCCAGTGCAAGAGCCTCTACCACCTGTAACGCAAGAGCTCATTAAGCAAGAAATCTCCAAGCTTTGGAGTAACAGACTCTTACAAGAGGAATCTTTCCACTTATTTCACCTGTTCTATACAAGTAAACTCATCCGCTAAGGTGGGTTCCTTCCGAGAACCTCCGTGGATGGGCGTATCTGGCGGCGTCTGCGAATAGCACCGCGGTTGAGGATAAGCGAAGTCAGAACTGCAGATTTGTTGAGGCGGGTAACTATAGCTTTCTTGACCATACAAAAAGAACGATCCTTTCTCCGAAGATACTGATGAATCCGACCGGGACGACAACGAGTCTTGCCTCTGGCTTCTCTTTGAATTCCCAGAACCCATGTATAAGATCTGTGACTGATCTGACCCTTCAGGTTCCCAGATATAAAACCTGCAAAAAAAAATTTGGGAAAAATTGATACTTTGAGATTTTGGAACAATCGTGATCAACATCAGGATAATGGGTTTTGCTTGTAATTACCTAAACGCAAAGATTAATAGTTGCGTCTTGTGTGATCACACGCTTGAACATATATAAAATATAACATATATATATATATATATGTTTTGGGTCAATAAAATAGCTGAATTGAATTTCTCTAGAGTTAGAGAATCGTTAATCGAATAATAGTTGCGTCTCCTCGATGACAGAATTCCTCGTCATACCTTCTCTGTTCATAAATTTTTAATCTCATTGTATAAAATGAATTTTTAAAAGAAAATTTCCAACTCTCTTTCTTTTTTAAAGAAAAATTTTATGTAGTTTGAAAAGTTGTTCTCAAGTCTAAATTCTCAACCTTTTGTCCTTTTTCTTTTTTAGTTTAAATTATTTTAAAACAAATAAATATATTAACATGAAAATGTATACATTGGGCCAGCAAAAATTTTAATAGTTGCGTCTTGTGTGATCACACGCTTGAACCAATATAAAATATAACATATATATATATATATATATGTTTTGGGTCAATTCTTATATAATATTCAATTTCTTTTGGGTTTGCCGAAAGAAGCTTTTTAACCCTACGGGCTGATTCAAGATTCTGTATTTTGCTGGATCCGATGCTAACCGATTAATTTGCAATAGAATTTCTGAGTTTATCTCATAATTTTTATGATATTATTTTGATAATATTTTTAATTCGTAAACTGTCGGAAGTGAAACTTAGATTGTGAATATATCATAACAACCAACAAGAATCACACAATTCATCCATACATTTCAATATATAAAGAAAATAGTTTGATAGATAAAAATTATAGAGTGAAAGATTTAACCCCTATTTTCTATCCAACGGTGATGAAAAATTATTAATTTATAATAGCTACATATATTACATATATTATTTTCAGTTTTTGGCATTTTATTTTATAATATTCACGTATAACCATCCTTATATTTTTTAAATAAAACTATTTAATTTTATTACAATAAAAAATCATGAGTCTCCAAGTTTAGTTCGTGAATAATACAAGCATAATCAAATTTTTTTAGTTGTTTAATAATTTCCACAATTTATCCTTATAAGTCGTCTTTAGTTTGTCAATAAACCTCTATCATCCATTCACCTCTATCATTATCAATTTGCATTTAACATATTATGACATGGTCCATAGTATCATCTTCTACTTTTGGATTCATCTTTCCTCCTTTCACCTCTATTATTGTTAACTTGCATTTACATATATTGTGATATGGTCCATGATGGTTATTGTTTTATCTTGTTTTTCATAAGGTCCTCCTAGTATTTAGATTTGTTTGTTTTGATATAGATATTATGTTTATTTACTCGATAAACCCTGTCCAATTTGTTATTTTCAAAACATACATTCGTTCGATTAGGAACAAAGAAACATAAACATGTTGATATAGGATAAACTTGACACTTTGGTTAATACTTTTGTATTGCAATTATGATTTGACTTTTGACTTCAAAATATTATGGTTTTTTTTATAATAATGTACAATACTACACAAATTTTAGATATTTTAATTATAAATAAGTGAATTCGGTTGTTAGAATGTTTACACATTTATAATTTACAAAGTTTTCTATATATTTTCTTTTTTTGTTTTTTAACTATTACGAACCCACTATACAAAAGCTTTAAAAAGAAAATAACCTATAGTAAAAAAATAGAATGACATTCTTCCATATGAAAGAATTATAATCTATCATGCATATATTGGTTGATTAACAGTATTACTTATAGACTTTGTTTACATAATTTTAAATTGTACTCCGATGAAAAAAAACATTGTGTTTATATTTGCAAGATAAAATAAATATTTGTTGTACATTTTTTTTTTGGAATACCGTTATAAAGAATAGACTATATAATCTGCATATTAGTAAGAGATACATTGAATTGGTGAAGAATTTTTTTTTGAAGATAATGATATTCACGGAAGTCGTGTGATGATCACCACCCATGAAAAGAGAATAACTCATTTCTCTTACAGAATGATAAGCTGATTCCACCCTATTGAACCTTTAAAAGAAGATAAGGCTTCGAAGTTATTCTATAAGTGGGCATTTTCAGAGAGTCTTGATCAAAGCATAATACCAAATGTAGAACATATTGCGAGGAATCTCGTTTACAAATGTGGAGGCCTACCATTAGTCTTGTGTCTTTTGGGTAGGATGATGTCGACAAGAAGATTAGAATCATAATGGAGGAGAGTTTACAATAGCTTGAACTAGGAATTGAGCAATAATCCCGACATCAAGGATGTTTAGAGGATCTTAGTTCTTAATTTCAACAATTTGTCATATCCACTTAAGCATTGCTTCTTATATTGTTGCATTTTTCAGAGGACTACATTATCAAAAGGAAGAAGTTGATCAGAGACTATGGATGACGTAAGACGTAAGGGTTTGTGCAAACAATTAGAGGACTAAAACTAGAAGAAGTGGCAAATAACTATCTCATGAAAGTTGTTTATATGTAGGAACATGTTATAAGTGGTGTTTAGGAACCACATCGACTATTGTTTATATAGTTCTTCCATAATAAAATAATATATAATCTATCATGTATTTGCTGTCAATAATATTACTTTCGAACTCTGTTTTATATAGTTCTAAATTGTATTTCGATTAAAAAAAATTTGTATTTATATTTAGAAGTTGTATTTTTTTGGGAATAATGTTATAAAAAAATGGGAGAATCGCCGTAAAATACCTATACTTTTCTCTGGTCTCAATTTAATACCTGTACTTTTTTAAATACTGAATAATACCTGTACAATTGGTTTTTCTCCAAATAAATCATATTCTTTTAAATTATTGGCCAAAAAATACATACCTTCAAATAACCGCCACGTAGACAAATGGAAATCCTACGTGGCGGCGAAATTCTCAACCTCTCTCCTAATCATCGCGCCATGTCGTCGCCACGTCAGAAATTAAATAAAATAAATAAAAAATAAATAATTAATAAATTAATTAATAATAATTAATTAAATAAATAAAAATCATAAAATAAATAATAAATATATATATACATATACATATATATATATATACATATATGCATATATACATACATATATAAATATATACATACACATATATACATATATATACATACATATAAACACACA